ACATGATAGAGATGAGGTTAGCTTTTAGACCAGTATTATGTATTAATTGTTAATAAAAAAACTAAGCTAATATTTGCAAATGTAAGATAAGCTCAATTCAAATCAGAAAAGGTTCATTTTTTATAAGCCAACGTTGTATCGAAAAAGAAGTGTTTTCCAAAGATATCGGAGGTTTAAAACAAGACAACTTGGTAACTGTTAATAATTTTTTTCTACAAAATTTATGAGGGTTCAATTTAAACAAACTGTGTAATCAGAGGGTGCATTTTTTGTTCTTTCTAACTGAATTTTTTTTTTTTTCTTTTTAATACTTTCTTGGGCTGGGGGAGTGGGGGTAATACCTATCGGGCCTCAAAGAACTCGTGCCGTCTCTCACGACACACTTTTCAAGTATAATGTGCCCACGAGTGTATATAGGTATACACATTTTTATCCTGCGGATATTTTTAACTTTCAAACTTTTGGTTAGTTCTACCCACCGCGTAGTTATTGTTTTCAATTTTTTTATTTATTATAATAAAATAATAATGATAAGTCTTTGATGAAATATATCCAAAATTTGATAATTTTTTTGCCGATCTCATCGTGCACGTCCACTCGTGAGAACAAAAATGATGTTGTGCCAGGTCTCATTCTCTTCATCTAGGCGGCACCCCCCTTTTCTTCCATCTTTTTTTCTTACTCCTTTACGTAAAAACTGTTTAGTTGACTATTGGGATTAAAGACTCTGCGTTACTTTCTCCTTTCCTCTGGCTTATTAAAAATATTTTGTTTACATTTGCTTATTCATTTTATCGGTTTAACGTTGAAAACAATAAATGTTGACAAAGTAAGGCGAGATAATGCAAAAATTCTCAAACAACAAATGAATTTTTTTTTCTTTTTTTTTTTAGAATCCGCATTCTTCGTCTACCAGTGTTACCTACGAGGCGGAGGGTGGAATCCGTAATCCAGCCTGTCAAGACGATGACTTGTCGGAATCGGTAAGTAATGTACTTGTTTCACTTTGAAAGTTATAAAAACTAATATTCGTGTGTCATCCAATGCAATATTTTTATTTTTGGTTTAAAAAAAGTGTTTGACTGACCATGACTCGTGTAATTTGTAGGTAGTTAATTAATAATTTTATTTTCGCATCGTTTTTATTACATGTTTGCGGGAGGTCACATCCCCCAAACAGCAATGATATGGGAATGGTGTCCTAGGAAGCTCAGAACAGAGGTCGCGAGAAAGAAAGTACACTTTAGCCTCGATTGGAGCCTTCAGAGTAACGGTCCTGATTGGCTGTGGTCTTTTCCTTCCTAGCACCCTCTTATCGGCTAAGTTTTGTCAGTTGCCATCCACCCATAATCAATTGTACATGTACGAGCACGCACTTTAAAAACGTAATTCTCAGAATTGAAAGTCAACTAGCCTTACGCATTTCTCGAAGTAGTGATCGGATACCCTTGAAGAGGGACATATGACCCCCCTTTACTCATGTTTCGATTCATCTGCAAGATTGACATCATCTTTTTTTTGGAACGGTGACAAATACCGTATAAAGTTTACAATGCTTGTTTGTGTTTTTCATTTATTGACCTAAAATGTAAAATATATTTCATAGGGTGACACACACTTTTTGATTGGTGTATGTTTTTGATAAACCGAAGAATAAGCAGCTTGTGTCATTTTTGTCACGTCTCTTTTTTGAACTTTACTTCCCAACGTTCGTGCGTACCCGTCAGCTTCGCATAATCCCAGAGAAAGAAAAAATATAACTATTTTTTGCTTTGTTTCCCTTGAAAATTTTTATGTCCATAATTTCAATTCGTAAGTTTGATTCCTATCCAAGGAAGCATTGGAGGGTAAACTGGGGAGTTGTGTTGCGTAAAAATGCTGTATTCGTCTTATGCATACTTGTTCCCATTGATTTTTTTTTTTTTTTTTTTTTATTCAAGTTCACCCAGTAGGTACTAAAATAAAATTTGTTCTATTATTCATTGTCCCGTAGAAAAAAATATCAATAGGTAAACAATTTTCCACTGGGATACAAGAATTTTTTAGTATAAAACCATTCAAAGTGTCGTGTATGCACGTGATTATGATTGGGTCTTCAAAGTTAATGTTTATTTAATATACTATAGTTTTGATAGTGCACAAAGCAGATAAGAATCTCAAGAATTCTATACACACAGAGTAGTATAATCACTTATACGCACTAGCATATAAATAAAATTTAAAAAAATTTTTCGTACTAAAATTTGTGTCTTATATCTAATATAGATAACAAATGCTTTTTTGTTAGTTTCACGCATGAATGTTGTCTTTTATACCGTACCCATTTAGTCGTTTTTCATTCGTCAACTGTGCCGCATACAATGAGAGATAGAAAAAAAGAAATACCCTCGACATAGCGTAAGTTTTTCTTTTTGTTCTTGTAAAAATTGAACCAAATTATATATTTCTACGAAAATGCATAAAAGGTGCAAAAATAAATTTGATGACTGTGTTTTAATGATAAGTGATAAGCTAAGCAAGCATTTTCCTTCGATTCTGTAAAAATCACATTGGACGCATCGCGAAATGTTGCAGTATTGTCCTTCGGTATGTTTTACAATAATAAATCTAGAAACAGTACACAGTCACAGGTCTTGTAAACCGTTTTTAAAATTACTTGAGTCACGTGTAGTGAAATCCTCAAAGGGAATGCCATTTAATGGGTGGTGTGTGTATAAGCGTGTAGTTCCTGCGAAATCTGATTTTTTTTTTCTTCAAAGGGACGTGACTAATTTTTGCAATTCGATATGAAAACATTGAATTTCCAGCTATCACCTCATCGTTTGATTGTTCAAACTGACAATAAAGCTCATACACAGCTCAACACTTGGTGCTACGCATCGCGACAAGATTGCCGTGTTTGTTTAAACTAAGCTTTGGCAACATGTGTACAATAAGAGTTGCATTTCTAGGTATGGCTCAAACGCACCCGAGAGATAACACGAAAAACGATAGGAATGTGTTTTGCAAGCTCGTGCCTCAGTCGTAAATTTTACGTGCCAATATAAAATCGTACGAACAAGACACGATCTCAGAAATTGTGTCAAGAGCTTTTGAGGAAGACCTTAGAATTCGCAATTCTCTATTATTCACCAAGAGCTAGCCCATGAAAAAAAACTTTCACATTTTTACCGATGAAGAAAAACCATCTCTCTCGCTGACGTAAATGCAAATGGAGAGGTCCTCTTCAGGCACCACCGCTTCACAGTGTCGTACACTCTCACAAAAGCAAAAAGTGGACGCGCATGTAAATGGTCGAGTATTTTACAATGCTTACGTGTTGATGACAAGTTTTTTTTTTTTTTTTTTTTTTTTTTTTTGGTTTCGGTATTCATACACACACCTGGAGCAAAAGATATCAGCTCATAATATTAAATGAATTCGTATATTTATTTCACGTCCTAAACAGTAATATTACTAGAATTTTTCTTTAGCGTGCTCAGGTCAAAAAAGAAAAAATCACAAGAAGCTACCGTTTACCGTGATCAGTTAAAAAAGCTTACTTACGTTCTATTTTCCTCGCGACCCTTATCGAAATAATAGCGAAATAAAAGCGGAATGTTTTTCGAAGCCGAAGGAAATCAATTATAGTCTTTACATCAGCTACCACATCAGTACGTACATTATAGTGTGTGTGCGCACGCATTGCGTATGTAATAGCTATGTGAGAATCCAAAGCCGTATTTGGATGAAAAAAAAGTATTAATAATAATAATAATTAAATAAAGCGTCTTAATGTGCGCTTTGGCCAAAGATAAATCCAGCTTGAGCATATGGATAAATTTAACGCACAACTGCATATTATCTTATACTAGATAATAATAGGCCGTACGAAAAAAAATTTTTTTTATGTTATCTACAACTTGATTACATAACACGTAGAGCCAAAATAGGAGTAAGAGTCGGAAAAATTTAATTTTTTTCGGTCCTACACTAAAGTGGTAAAAAGTTGTAGTTTTTCGAGTACTGCATTTTTCCTCATCTGTCCATCTGTCAATGAGGATTGTCTGCACAAAACTTGACTGCAGTGACACGAATGGCACTTGAGCCAGGGTGACGTTGCATATGATACGAAACTTAAACTATAGTCGGTATTACTTCCCTCTTCTTCCAAAATAAATCGGAGATACTATCTTCCTCATTTCATCGAGCAAAGTGTGATTTTTTTTTTATAGTTACGTAATTTTAAGGTTGGTAAAATTAAAAATGACTCGATTAGAAAGCATTAAAAATAAAGGTAACATGAAATTCGTAGTGCCACTCCGATTATCCTAATTTAAGGTTCAAACTTTGTCTTGGACAAATAACATATGCAATTGAATGCACAGTGGCCTACACCTTTCGCTCCGGTGAAAATGTGAGGCACTCTTGTAAAGCTGTCGCGCCTATTTTACGGCCTGCACCCGCGGTATTAATCGGCATTGCCCGTCACTAATAACCTTAACATTTTTATAGGCTCCCTTAGCTTTCTTGGAGAAAAAAAGAGAATGAAAGAAATGCGCAGGAAATGGAAGTGAAGAGCGTGCACTCAAAGTTCATGCGCTTCGCCACACATCGAGCCATGGATGAGAATACGGGAAGGGACGTAGCAGTGACACTTTTAATTATCTTCGTTGAACGCACTTGCCCCATTTATAAATGTGCGTACATCTATACATATATCTATGTGTGTATGTGCTCGCGTGTGTGCTTCCTACGTAATATATTTGTATTTTTTCCCCTCTCGCCTCTATGTTATGGACTTTTTTACTTGTCGATTAACTGTGCTACGGGACGTATAATAAGTATAAAATACTCGCGTGGTGTAAATGCATGTGTTTAGCCTATTATCGTGTATAATATGACCAAATCGTACATCGTATACAATGTGATCAAAAAAACGCTGTACTTACTTTTCGTTATTTGACACGTTTATCCTCTTTTTTCATAATAAAAACAAAAACAAAAAAAAAAACATATCAAATAAAGCATATCAAAAATTATACGAGTGATTTAAATTCAACAACACTCCTCAGCTTTCACACAATTGTCAATTTTTGTTCATACAAAATAAGATGAAGTAGCTATAAAATATTTTTCGATCATTCATGTGATAAATACAGTGAGTTCAAAAAATTTTTTTAAGCAACAATCGTACCGTATCACAATGTGTGTAAATTGAAAAAAAAAAAAAAAAAAAAAAAATGAGTTAATTACTATAAGAGACGAGGAAAGACTGGTTTTAAGTGTGGTTTTTCGAGAGTTTTTATAGTTTTTTTTTTTTTCTTAGATTTAACTACGCAACAGTAGCTTGGGTGTTTTTTGCTTTCATTCAAAGCTCTGTCATCGCATGCGATTGGCCACTGTACACGAACATCCGTGCATGTGGTTTTTCCTCGTTGCTCTATAGGATGCCGAAAACGCAAATTTCGTCGAGTGAAATTAAATAACTTGCAATTGGAAAGTGAAGGGAAAAAAATATTTACACACAGATACACAAAAAATATATACACGCACATGCAGTTCGAACTATGCCATACAATTTGTTTGGCGTAAAAATCGAATCGATGAGAGCGAGTATAAAACGTATCAAAATAGTTAGGCTTTGCTAGTAGGAATTCATGCTTTCAATTTTTTGTATCTTATCTAGTTTTGCTTATTTTCTCAATTTTTTCATCAAGTGCCCCCTCTCGTTTCGAAAGGCAGAGATGATATTACGAGACTCCTGATAAATAGCCTACTCAACAGGCATTTTCTTATTTGTTTCGGTTCACTCTTTCCAATACATATATATATGAGCACGTGCCGCACGTGCATGTACCATGAATTTTTGTTTATGTCAACGATATGCCAAAAATAACAGCTCATTTGACTTTTTCTATTGGACGTACAGTACTGATTCAACAAGTTGAGCTCAACTCAAGTTTGATCAAGTTTTTTTTCCTTATTATTGCAGCCGGAGCTT